TAAAAGATATATATAAATACATCAAATTTATTGGACCAGATTGCAAATTGCCAACATCAATTTTTTCGTCATTTTTTGATGAGTTTGTATAACTAGAGTTAGATTCATAATCGGTTTTATTTAAACACGATGTGCTTCTAAAAAAGCTAGAGAATGCTAATAAATCAGAATCAACGCTATCGGAATCATCCGAATTTTTTTTAAATTTATCTGGTTTAGGTTTTTCAATATTAAAAATATCAAACACACGTTTACTCATAGTCAATGCTGTTATAAAATAGTAATTGATCAATCAGTATTTAGTGTGTACCTACTGTTTACTGTAATACCGTCGTCCGTCATAATAATGTCTTCAGTTATCGTAACAGATTGTTAATTGTATTGGGATTTTACTTAAATATCGAAGATAGTGATTTTTCCTATTAGCGAAATAATAGATAATAAATACACCAAACGTCGTGTATACCATTTCTAGAAACCTATTTTATCATGACAATTAAAACGTTATTGTTGTAGTTATAAAATATTAACGTAATTCAATCATTTTAATTTTATTATAAATTTACAATACAAAATTCATACATGATGCATGAATCTTAAAGTCTATATTATAACACATACTTATCGGATATACTGTTTAGGAACTACATGGTGTATTTTATAATTTTCTTTAATAAAAAATCTGAAATTTGTTGAAAAATTAAAAAAAAATGTAAGGGGGCTATACACTTTGGGGGGGGGGGGGGTCTAAGCCCCCCTAAGCCCCCCACAATTTACGCCTATGTACCACACTGGTATATCAGTGATTTTGTCTTTTAGTACCCAACAATAAATATAGGCGGAAAATACAAAACTATATCGTAGATATTAAACATTATATTACAGCAAATTATATTTGGTCAATTTTATTTTTTAATGTTTTTTTTTTATCGCTGCTCAGATATGCGGTCTACATACATGTTTGTAGTCTGCGTCCCGTCGGTTGACCGCATATCCGAGCAGCACCAATCTGAAAGCTCGATTTGAAACCCGTAACTTATCGATCGGCAATCGAGTCATCGATGTAGATTACGTAATCAATGTAATGCAGGAAGCGGAAACCGTATTTAGATTGGCGGTACGTGTGCGTTGATAAATGTTGTGATGGCCGATGGGTGGTATATGTTCAATGTATTTCTCCCTAAATTAATGTCATCTCAGAAGAGGTTTTAACTACAATTTAGGGAAAGTACCTCCAAACATACTATTTTATTTTTAATATTTTATTATGTTTTATTTTTTGAGACCGGTCCAACGTGTGATCTACCCAGGGCCCTATTTATGCAAGGACATTGTGGGTATTTTTTTCTTTTTGTCCCGGGCCTACAAAACGCTAAATTAGACTCTGGATTTACCGAAAAAATGGGTGGATCAATGTATAATTTACCGACTAAATTTTATGCTTGTTATATTCTAAAAGTATTTTTTAAATTTGATAAACAAATCAAATATTTGATTTTTTATCGAATGGCATGACCGCCACCATTCTTCTTTAAGTTGTCGGTCTAATAGTGGAGATGCACCATTAACTTTTATAAAATATTTAGACTTAACTAACTTTCACAATGATTCTATTATTTGATTATGAGCTTCAGGATTTGAATCCACAAAATTGTCAGTATGATTTACAGTTTGACGAATAAATCAATGGTCGTTCAGAGAACTATATGCTCGCCACTGATCGCTGTGATTCGTCTTATGAATTTCTACCTCTCTGTTAATGGTTAGAGTGTTAGTCGATCTCTCTTTTCTATAATGAAAACTTGACCATCTGTTTTGTTGTCATTATTACAACAGAAATCAAATACCCATGGTCCCTGTATTCTATTTCCGTAATTTCGTTGGTTATTTTCTATCGGAGTGAATGAACTCGATTATATTTTCATTTCCTTTGAAAGAGGGATTCATCTATCTGTACAATGTAACCAGGACCTCCCATTTTTGGTCTTTTTGAAAACTAATCGTTGATCAAAAATCACGTCGCGGTTCAGATTGTACCAGTCAATTACACTAGATTTATTTCTACTTGTCCATAAAACTGTATTATCATATACCCATTACCAGACAAGTTCTATTATTTCTGTTAGAGCTAAATTACTATGACATTTACCATTGAGGTCTGTGTTAGAATAAAATGTTCCTGCGCGGATTGACTGATATGTTTGACATCCCTTTTTAATACACTTCATAGTCATAATTTTACCAAGTACCGTTCGAATATATTTTTTTACTAATTCTTGTTGTTTCACGTAATTATCCAACACATTATCGGTGCCATCAATATTCTTTTTAGAGAAAACCAAACAATTGTTTTTAAAATGTTTTTACTTTTTAAATATTCAACGCATTTTACTTCATCAATAATTATTTTTCTGCCCCATTGTTGAAATAAAATTCATTTTAAATCGGGGCAAAACATACGTGACATTAAATCAAAACATATACTCACTCGTGAAAAAAAATGGAAAAAATTTACTAACAAACGAAATCACTCAGAATAAACGCTAAATGGTAACTGAATGTCTAAATTATATTTTAAAAATACAATATAATCGTAAATTCTATAACATATAGATAATTATGTAGGTGTAGCACTATAGAATGAAATATAGGTATCTGTTATCGGTAGGATCACAGAACACTTAATCGTAGATAGCCATTCATTGGTAGATCACACATTGGACCGGTTTCTCTTTTTTTATTATTATTTATTTTATTTAAAATATATTTTATGTTTTTTATTATTTGTATTATGTATTTTTTTTAGACTAAACAATAAAAAAATGATATGAAATAAGTTTATATATATATACCTATTTTATCATTTTTATCTCTATTACTATTATAGTATAATTATTATTAAAATCATTTTTAAAATGTATGTAAAATCATTTTACAAAGAAAAATATTGATATATTTTACGCATGTACACCGGTGTATTGTATTGTTAAAGGAAATGCACGCGATATTATTATAAGTTCCCCTCAATTTGCCTAACAATATGATGAATTGTTTAAACTCAACCGGAAATCTCAATTGATTATGTGCACTCAGAGGAAACGCATTTTTCCACTTTGTTATAACACTGAGTATTTTAATGAAACATGCACAGCTATCACATAAACTAGTATATATTATTACAGTTCTGTATACATTAGTATATTATATGGTTGTGTTGTGCGAGTGTTAAATAATAATTGAATGGTAGTTGTATTTTTTAAATCACGATTTTAAGTATTCAGAAATATTCATTTAGTAAACTATACAATTATTTACTTATTACAATTTTTTTAACATTTTTATCTCATAATTATTTGTTTATTAATTATTGTAATTGTTATATTGTTAAATATCAATCGATAAGTATGTCATGTACAGTGTCGGATTTAGGACTTTAAACACCCGAGGCTAATTAAAATTTAGTACCTTTACATAGTATTATTAGCTACGGGGGTTAGGGTGTGTGGGTTATCAATACAAAACAAAACGTTTAAACAGGTACAAATCAAAAGTATATTTTTATTTAAATCGTCTTAACTTATACCTATTATATTTAAAAATCATTAAAACATTTAAAAACTTAAACATAGGTAAATAAAAAAATCTCTTGGTTATTTTAATTAAGTAAAAATAATTGTATTTCTGAAAATTTAAAAATTAACTTTTTTAACTTTTTTTGTGACTAAATTATTGATTATGTCTTTATAATTGAGTCTTGCAATTTTGTTTTGTATAGATATAACAGATAAGTGGTTAAGTCTTGTTTGCTTTATTAAGGCATTGTTAATAACAATTTTCATCATTATTAAAAATTTATTTTCTTCACTTATGTTACAAAACTTAGAAATCGACGATTTCGGTAGTTTTGTATATATTTTTTTAATTTTTAGTTTTATTTTCTGTTTTCAACCCCACTAAGATTTTTTTTGAATTATTTATCTTTTTTTTTTTTTTTAAATAATGTTAAAGTTAAAAAATTGTTAAGTTTAAATAAATCTGACAATGACTATCGGTTATATGACACGAACAATTGACAATAAAAATATTATCGTACATTCGAACATTGTAAATATATTAATATACATTTATCGTCGACTCGATAGCCAGTTTGGGTTTTCTCCGAAAACTGACTGATAAAGATTGGGCAACTATAAAATTTATAAAAGATGTTATTATTGGACAAAAATATAAACATACGAATGTCTAATATTATTTTTTCTGTTTAAAAAAATAATATAATTTATACATATTTTATTAGATATTTTTATTTTTCATCTATTTAAGAACGCCCGGGGCAAGGATACCCAATAATTGCTCCACCCCTAGATTCGGCACTGGTTATATATTATATATTTATAGCATAATACAATTATTTTTTTTGTGTAATTTAAATTTTGGGCGTCCATAAAATTTATAGAATAATATTTCGTTTGTTTAATGACTTCTGCCACGCTTTGATAACATGAAGTAAAAATTCAAAAGAAATTCAAAAATTTTTTTTTGTTCAATGTCCATCCTGAATATGGATAAATATATTTAATATAGTGTTATTAAGTATTGTATAGGTACTGTTCGGGAGACCTACACAATTTCTAAGTGATTTATTTAATTAATGTCTATACTAAATTTACAAAATGTACATTATGATAATTTAAAAATTGTATCTACATGTATGACATTTTACAGTTTGTATAATATGGTAATGTACGATTATACATTTGATGAAAATGTTTTTGACATTTGACCTTGGCGCATTAAAATTAACAGCACTTCATCAACTACACTATTGGCTGCGGGCACAGGAACTTACCTGTTTATGTATACATTTATTTAATATATACATGCGCACATACACACAAAATTTATTTTGTAACTAATGTAGGTAGTAAAATTAATATTAATTTAGTATAATGTCGAAACGTGTTATCAGTTGGGCAGAACTCGATCTAATGATCTTTCCGGTTGTCGCAGCACACGATGTACGAGATCGACAAAAACAGTGGTCGATTGCATAATAATATTTAAGTATTATTATCAGTTTTTTGTTGTACAATGTACACGAGTAATTAGCGAGACTGTTGATAATGGTGGAGAACTCATCGAAGGATTTCGATAACAATTGATAATCACCGCCACTACCGCTCAATATATTATAAACTACATAATATTATGTTCATCAATAGATTAACAGTTCACACATCGATCATTTGTACTCCGTCGCTGTTGACGGCTTGCAGGAAACGTTTTGAAATCTTTGAAGCTATGAGCCACTTGTCGCACGTTTCCACGGACTTGGCTGGCCCGGCGGTCGGGATCTACAGGTAATTTTAATATTGATTTAATAGTAATTTTTATATAATATGTACACCATGTTATATTATATTATTACCACTATCTTATAACTAGTTTAATATTGACGTTAACGACCCAATCGCACATAAACCGAGTTTATTACTTTCTTGCGAATTTTTTATAACGGTCAAAGTTTTCGATTTCCGTTACTCCTTGTGTAGCCGTTTAAAATGTACGTGTCATTTTCACGGTAACAATATATGATAGAGTGGCGCAACAAAGTACCTACGTCAACTTCGCAAAACGAGGCCGTTAGCGATAAATACCGTTTTCATACAGTTTGTGTTTGTGATGCTGCTTTCGTCGTGGCCTAAAGTAGTGTACTATGAGACATTAAGTTGAATTTATTATTGTGAAGTTTATTTTATGAAATGCATTTTCTGAATAGATTACACATGTCTTGTAAGTTGTCGGCTCAATCTGTATGATACGTATATAATTCTCAGAATACTTGAGATACATTATTCGAGCTTAAGTATTGTAGTTATTTGACCTGGAACGGTCACTAACACTGTCTGTTCTGACTATTTGGAGTATAAATAACTCGAGTAGAACTAACTTGAGTATAGAAATATAAATTCTGATTGAAGTGTAAAGTAATTCTTATAGTAATGTCATAGAAAAAATGTATTTTAAATCTGCGTGAAAATATATCTTTGATATATAAATATTATATCATAATAATTTCATAGGTAAACATGAATAAAGTTTCTGTGATATTTAAATAAAAAAATTTACTTTAATATATTTCGTACTAAACACCATTTTTGAATTATAATTTTAAAATTAATGTCTTAAGGTTGTTAATAATAACTATAGTTAAATATCTGTAAGTTTATTAAATATTAAGATGATAAATTTCAAATGTATGTGTTTATATTTTATATATTTTTTTAGTACCTACACTAAAAGAATCAACATTTTTTTTTGTTTTAATTAGAGCATGTTATTATAATATTTTTACTTGCGTTAAATAGTTATTATGCATATTTTAATGGAAATAAATAATAATTTTTATGAAGTATTGGTTACAACTTTTCATGAAATCCATTCCGAGTTTTGTAAATGTAAAAGTACATAATATTTACTTATTGGTTTTAAATACGTTTGAAATTATTAAAATGAAATTTATAATTATCGAAAATTAGTAGTTTATCAAACTTAAAAGAAATTGTTTAAAGTATCAATCTTTAATGATCATAGTTTATTTCTTATTCAAGTATTAAATATTACAGATTAATATTGTTTAGAATGCAACAAATTATTATAATTAATTTGCTGTTAGCTCGTCGACTTAAAAATTATATTTTATCATTTATGGTATTCTAAATAAATTAGTTATGGAAATTATATGTAACTATTTGATAAGTATTTGTTTATCAAAGAATAATTATTTTTAACTTTAGGTCAAACTGTTAACATTATACCTAACTATATAATATATTTTTTTTGTACTTATCAAACATTATTGAGTAATTAATTTAATGTTTTGGTGAAAATAGATTTAATATGAGGTAGGTATAACTAAAAAGATAAATTGTATAATCAAGTATTTGTACTTCATATATTATGGATTTATTAGTGATATACTTACTTTATTATATGGTTTATAATTACAATGTATAGGTTATAATATTTATAAGTTTATAATTATAATTATAATTTATAGCATTGAATCTATTTGATTTAATGTTAAAATTAAAATAATTTTTATAACCAAAAAATGCATTTACATTTATTTCATTTTGAATTAATATCGATAACAAAATAATATTTGTATGTATTTAAACTATAATGATATGTTTTTAAAATAATTAAAAATTAAAAAAATAAAACATTGAAAATTATGGTTAATATTTAATGATATGTTGACCAAATATTTTGTCTGTAAATAAGGATTTTTTATGAATTTAAAATTGATTCTCAATTGTTTGCTCTTTCGATATAATTGAACTGTGGACGATGCAATGTGTTCTTGAGTATGTATAATATTATCTCTTTTCACGAAGAATTAAGTATATAATTTTATTCTAATCTTATCATTTTAATTAGTCTAGATTCATGTAATTATTTTGAATAATAATGTGAAAACATGAAACATTTAACACTATAAATTATTTTAGGACGCATTCAATTTTTTTTTTGGATTACTCTAACCTTGTTTACAGTTGATATAATGTTAAAATAAATGGATATTTATGAAAGTATCTCTAAGTATGTCATCAATATTAACAGGAAAATTTTCAGTTTTTAGTTAAGAACGATTTTAATTTTATTTGCAGCCAAGCAGTTAAATACGGCGATACAGTTTATTTGTCAGGTACCTTGGGCTTGGATCCTAATACAGGTAAACTAGTTGAAGGCGGTGCCGCACCCGAGATAAAAAGGGCATTAGAAAATATTAAGCATGTTCTTGAAGCATCTCAATCGTCTTTCAGTTCGAGTAAGTACTTAAAGATACGCAACAGATCAGTAGAAACTTATTAATCATATTTAACATTATATTTAATCAGTTAAACCAGGTAGTTATAAATTTTATCATTTAACAGTAATTGCATATTACTATTGTGCGTGTATTGTTTTTTTTTACATTTAAGTTAATAGGAAGTATAATTAATATAATTCGTATATTCCGTATAAATTCCATTATTCAAAGATTATTATTCTGGAGTTTTCATATCAGCATTTGATTGACACGGATCAGTATCACATAGAACAATATTTATAGTTTTTTCTGTAAATATTACGAAGCCTAAAGTATCAATTGTTCTTTTATATCACATAATACAAAGAATTGTTTTCCAAATCGATGACGCTTACTTTACATAAATTGTTCTAATTTAAGTCGACTTTTTCTTGTTTATAGCACCAATCTTTCAACTAGAACAAGATTTTGAAATGATAGTACAATAGAAGATCTGAAATTGTTCTGTTTATCGTTAGTTACTACAAGCATTTTAAAATTAATGGTCATTTGAAAATTGATTTTTGTTATTGCAAAAAATCAATTCACGTAACGTAAAAGTAATTGAAATTGATTTCTTTCATACATTTTTCAAAAATAGTTTATTGAAGTAAAGGATCTGTAGAAGTGTAGACCAATATTTAATTTATATTTTTTGCGCTTTGCCATATTTAAGTTCAACGTCATTTTTTAGCGTAGATTTTAAAATTCATAATTTATTATTATCATACCTATAGTTGATTTTTATAACTGATTTTATTTTACTCTCAAATTTCAGCGATCATTGTAATACATCAAGTAGTATAATTAAAAATCTAGTAGTGTTTTTTTTTTTTAATACCTTTAGTGTGTATAGCTATATAATATACAACACGGTATTGTTTTTAAAAATATTTAAATTTAATCATGATTTATATTTAATGCCTATAGGTATTAGGTATGCGGTATCAGCGGTGGGTATCATATTTAATACTATAATCACTGAATTTGTTGATATTCATCAATTAAAATATTAAATACATTTACCTTTTTTATGCTCAACTTCTTTAACAATATATAAAAAATAATGGTAGTTACCGCAATACATTATTATATAATTTATAAAAACGAAAAATACATGACAGCACATAATTTTGTATTAATGATGAAGTGATAAAAAAATGTTAATTGTTCCTGATCAATTTTAAAATTCTACTTGAAAAATGATTTGTGCCTTTTGAACTGTTGCATATTGTATAACCGTATTTGTTCATTATTCGTTATACAGCAATAGATCTTAATAAAGATTCGGTGAAAAAGTAACGCCATGATGGTGTATTAAAATTGTGAAACTGCATATAGAATTTAGCTTACATAAAAAGTATGTGTTAGATATATTATACTATTATAAATCCTGGTTAATTGATTTAAAATGTTAACTTTGACCAACAAATATCCGTAGTAGAAATGTTTGAACAAGCTAAAAACATTGACCTAGAATATTTTATCAAACGTTATACGATTCGAAAAAAAAAAATAAAAAAAAAAAAAACGTGGTAGTCAAAGTCGTTTACAATATATCTGATTTTCATATATTTATTCTTGTTGCAATATTCTTTGATATTTGATCCCTAAGCAAATAATACCGTATCTATAGTACCTATACACTGTCTAGAAGTTATTACTTTACTTGTATACAGTATATCTATATAAAACTGTAATGTCTTGAGTTTTATATATTATTACACTGTTATGATTGATTCATTAAATATATGTTTTCGATCGCTATCGTTGTACGCAGCGTCACATCATTAGTTGATTTCCTCTTATTTAATTTTTTTAATATTGGGTGAAAAAGAAGTATTTTTAACAAGTAAAACTTCATCTATGCATCGGAACTTTAGTACATGCATGATACACATAATATTTCGTTGGCATGTATTCAAACTATGTCATGTTATTAATAAAATATGAATTATAATTAAGGATCTGCTATAGATTTAATTAAGTTTTTTTAAACTTATAACAATAAATAGCTATTTATTATATATTTTAATCCCTATTAATGTTTTACTTTTTTACTCTGACCAAACATTGATTGTAATTATTTAAGTAGAAATTCGATTATAAACCATAACGGTATGAGAATTAATAATATAATGTAATAACCTTATAATTATAAAATTGTTCATTGGGCGACAAGTTATTTTTATTATTCAATCAATTAATTTGTACTAAAAATTAAATCTTTAATTTTTGACTATTTGCTTAGTTATTTGATAAAATGTCTGCAGGTATGACTTGGCAATACTTACAAATTATATATATATATTAATATATCACATACTTCTTGTGACATATTTTGTTATATAAGTGTGTTTTTCTGGCTTTTGGCAAATTTCCACAACTTGTAAGGTATTTTTGACTAGCTGCTTGGCCAATTATGCGTATTCATTAGGGAGTAATTATCTGTTGATATCTTCATTCACAATAAAAATTTGAAAAGCTTATATAAATACATTTAGATATTAAATTTTTATTTATACTTTATTTTTGAAAGAATTTTTATTATTTGTTCGAATACTCTATTAAATAATTACAATAATATAATATATAGAAATAGTCAAATAGAATAACAAATTTATATTTTATATATGTGATGAACTGATGAAAATGTAAAAGATGAATAATTATAGCAATATTAACGACGAATAAGTATGTAATTTTATTTGTATGATTTAAAAACTCAATAGTAAATAAAAAAAAATAGAATCAAGTAAAATTTGTTTTATTTATAAATTATTCAATACACTTAAGTAGACGATAACACAAAAATAATAGTCACATTTTAAAACAAAGCTATTTTGGTTAAATATAAAGGGTAAATTTATTTATTATGAATACAGTTATTCTTGTGATTACGTAAAAAAACGAAAAGAGACCCCTCTATTTTGGTGGTAACATGTTTGATAATTCTTATAAGTATATATTTTTATTATTTCCAGTCGTTAAGACCACGGTTCTGTTAGCTGACATAAAAGACGGTCCAACGGTAAACGAGATTTACAAGCAATGTAATTATGCGGACTCATTTGAATTTCAAAATAGATAGCACTAAGTACTGATTAAAAACAATAATTTGTCTCTTTATTTTCTCTTTAATAGTTTTTGTGCCGCCATATCCGGCTAGAGCAATGTTTCAAGTAGCAAAATTGCCTTTGGTAAGTATTAAAAAAAACTGACAAGACATCATTGATGTGATAAATTATAGTTTATGTTTTTTTTGCCATTATTTATATGAGGGCACTTGTGGCTTATTTTTTTTCGGAGGTCAATAAAATCACCAAATTATATTTGTGTCACTTGGGTTGTTAAATATGTAATGATTAATCTTTTTGTATTTTTATTTTTATAGGACGCCAAAGTCGAAATAGAAGTTATTGCAGCGGTTAACAAGTAATCGCAATAAGGTTTATTTTAATTTTATTTGTTAAAATGTTTTACAAACTTGCTCCGAGCAACAGAAATAATTTAAATATATTATTTACAAAACAAAACGTGCTGTATACATATTAAAGCGAGGATTTAATGCCTATTCGAAGGATAGAATTATCTGTCTCAGTATAATTAGAAATGTGACAAATTCATAGTTTTTATTTTATTTATTTTAAATACCTCGATAGATATTTTAAAAAAAACATGCAGTAGAATAATATTATAACTGAGTTATTCATTTAACAATTTTATTAACTCAATTAGAGCAACTAGGTACATAAGTTCTATATTACATTCTTAATTTTTTTTTTTTTTTTTTTAATATATGTTTTTCTAATCGTACTTTTTAGTCGTTTTCCACGTAAAATTAATTAGAATTTCAAGTGTGTTGATACATATTGTTGAAGCAACGGGAAAATGCTAATTTCCTTAACGTATAGTTATCGAATAGAGGAAATAAATTTAAGTGTGGAGACGCAATCGTATATGGAAATGGGCTTTACTATGGTCTCCACTAACAACCAAGTACCAATCTCTGGTTTTAATATTTTTCATGAGCATTTCTGGTTATGACATTAACTGGTTAGGTAACGCTAAATAGGAACACTAAATTTAATTCGGTGTCATCAGCATAGTGGTTGTCCTGTTGTTGTTGGTCAATACACCAACGGTAATTCCGTTTTCCAGCACCATGGTGCCGTTTTCTTTGATAGGGTCTTGTTTGCTTAAGATCATTTTATGTGGAAATCTCAGCGTTTTGTCCACGGTTGACGACGTACCCATGTCGCTAGTCTCGTTGATTGCTACGATTGTAGGTTTCCAGGATTTGTTGGTTATCATTCGTTTCATCGAACTTACCTAAACAATTAAAAAAACAATAATAATAATAATAACAACCGTGCGGGCAGTAGAACAATAAAACATATCTGTTATGAGAAACAAAATAATCATAATTGTTAGATAAGTACCTACTTTAAACAATTATTTTATAACTTATTATTCAAATCCTATATTTAAAAAAAAGCTTTATATTATAAGCAAATACATTTAATTATATTTTTTAGAGTTTAAAACCTTTTTTAATTTTATTCTAATGTATTGTTGGACATATTTTCTATGTAATTTCTACCAGTAACAAATGAATGTTGAAGTAATAATTTATAAATCGTTATTTTATTTTCAAAATGAGATGCACCATAAAGATAAAGAGAAAATGTGTATCATACTAAATACGCAAACCACTATCTTGGTTATATCTAAATCTTTTTAATTGTTTGTAAATACTAAACTATTTGTTTAATATTTGTTCTACATTGAAAATGGCATACTATTTCCGATTTTAAATATTAAATAAAAAAAATGGGAAGTATACTTATACAACATTGTCTATAATACTATACATGTTAATCTCTATAGGTATACGTTTATTGAGTATCGCAAAGTACGCTTCTATTTTTGATTCATATATATAATAAATAAGATGGCTAATTAAAATTGTGATTTGTCTCAAAAAGCTAATTAAATTTAGATTAATAAAATTATTTAGCGATAATCAGGAAAAGACTAAAAAGTAATAAATATGTAATGTAAACAATTTGAAATATGTGTTAAATTAATTTTTATTGTACTTCATATTATATTTCCTTTTTTAAGTAAATAAATAAATATAATGTTACGATTAAAATAAAAATGAAGATAACAAAATGAAGCAGGTTAATTGGCTACAGTCAGATATTTTTTTATCACAACTTTTAACTCATTTTCAATTGAAAACAGTTAATCAGAGTTTTTACTCTTAACGTGATAATTTTAATTTTCAACGGCAATAATTATTATTAAATAGCTCTCTGTACCTCGTCAAAATGACTACTGCTGAAACTTCTACTATGGCTGTGGTTTCTCTGCCATTTGTAGTCCAGATTAGGCATACTGTGATCGGGACTTAAACCACTGGCTCCTTTGCAAGATCTCCAGGTTTCCTGAAAATAAATAATTAAAAAATGTTGATTGAAAAGTATTTGTATATCACTTAAGATAAATATTTGAATTAGATATATTATAAACTATTACGATGGTTTAAAATAAACGTAAAGGCATACAATGTCAATTTTTACTTTTAAATTTGTTATTAGGTATATTAACAGTTGCATTATGGATAAAAGAGTTAAAGATCTTTAGTTCATACAATTTACTTTTCTAAGCATTTGTAAAACTAAGATAACGTAGCGTGGCCATCTTAACAATAATTTTGGTGAGACTAATTTTAAACTTTTTACAGCGTGATTGCTATTTATTTTTTCCACGTTAGTACTCTGGGAATGTGGTGCCTTTTCAGAGTAACGCCACATACATACATTCACATACATAAATAATAAATATATATATGTTAGGTATTTAAGTTAGTCAATTAATTAATACAGTGTTGTGAATCTGAAATATTGTTTAGGGTTTAGGTGCTTAAATTAATAATAAATAAAATTATAAATCCATTAATTACCGGTGTTAAAAAGTTAAGTGTGTTTAACTTTCAAGTATAAAGGTTTTTGTTGATAATTTATTTGTAATGTTTTTTAGTCAAATAAACCTATATTAATAAACACGGTGGCTAAAATGTAATACAAATATTACCAATAATTAAATATTTTTATATGACCTCTAAATACACAAATATAGATTACTCATAAGATTATTTTAGCATTTTAGTATTATATGCACCTTAATAAATATTGCTCATCAAATTTTATTGTTGGACCATCTGAGTCAATTGATATAATACAATTGATAGTATTTTAATTGTTCTGTGCCTTGAATTTTAATCCTAAATGTTTGACTATGGAAATATTATAGAAGCAGTCCCGTCAAAAGTATTAGTATTTACGATAGCACCGTTTTCGTGTATAATGAAAATTTTCCAATTCGAATTAAATGTAATAATTAAAACGAAATAAAAGAACTTAGGTAGTTTTTGGCATTGCATCAGAGTCATTCATTTTATAGTCATAATGTATTCTGGAGTACATAATACGTATTTATACCGTAGTACATACAGTAATGTTTACATAACAAATCATAAAACTTAACCAAACCATTTCACCTTTAAAAAAACAATATCGAGATTTGACAACATATATTTTTAGATATTAGGTATACCGTATTTCGCATCATTCTTTTCTATCACTCCAATGTCGTTTAATTGCTCTTTACGAGTATAGTAAATTAGTTATTAGGTTTTGTATCCACTATTCAGTAATATTATGCACTGAAACATTATCAACTATGCATGTATCTCACAAATAAAATTTACAAATTATTAACAGTACAACCGTTGAATATAAAAATAATATATTAGACTAAATAGAGAAATCTAATTTTTTATAACAATAATAATACCTACTGCAACAATAACCGTCAGCTTAACTTTACTAATATACTCGTTAAATGGTTAAAGGCTTGTCAGCGACCGTTTTTGGATAACATGCTAAATACATAATATCTTTACCTATACTTGTTATATGATACACTTTGCAGGGACTGTACACAATAATATGTCACATAAATATATTCTAAATGTCTCGTTACGTATTATTATAAAATCATAAAAATTGCTTAGTGTGAAGCATTGTGTCATATTATGTTATGTTATTAACGGTTTACTACTACTCACTTTGAATGCAGTCCGGAATTTGTATGACATGAGATTATACAAAAGTGGGTTTATGGTAGCTGATAAGTAGTACAAAATTCCCGATACATAGTTCAGCACCTGATAGACGTTTACATCGATTATCGAAGTGCTCGAGTGGTCCTCGTGATTCGCGTTTCCGTAGATGGCGACCAGTCTTTGCGCTTGGAATGGCGCCCAGCAGACGAAGAAGGCTACCACCACGACCACTGCAATGTACAATTGAAATTCGTTTTAAAAATAATAATTCCAAACCGCATATTTGATCTATGTTTAAATAATATTATGTTAAATGGAAGATTAAAAAAATGGTAGATAATGTGTAGGTTAGTACCTGATACTACTATAAATAATTTCAATAATGAAATAACAATAAATACAGTTTACCATATAAATTTTATAAAAATAACGTATCATAAAATATTAACTAAGTTCATACATTTGTACATCTTATGCGTCTCACATATCTTCATACACATAGATATAATATCCCTTTAAATATATTTTTGAAGTGTCAAAACCAAATTTATCGTTTGTTTTCTGCCGTCATTCTTACTTAGATTTACAGCCACTTTGGAAGATATTTATTGTTGGTTTGGGTATAAAAACATTCAGAATAATTACTAATTACTGAGAAAGAATATTGAGATGAATTATTTTTTTTATGTGTTAACTACGAAATATTAATTGGAAATGTTATCATTCAGTAAGACATAGAGTTAAGTTACAAAAGAGAATAATCGCGGAAATTTCGTAAACCTCTAAAAGTTAATAATATTATTGTAAGTTGTGCTGTATAATTATGGATTCAAAGCACGGAACAGTGGATTTTCGATTTAGATTGATTGTTTCTTAAGTTTGGTGTGACCTATAAGGTTATAACCTTCACAAAAAAACTTTAAGAGCTAACTATGCTTATATCGTTATAACTTGTTTTCAAAATCTTAGGTTAACGTTAACTTGTTTTTAATTTACAATATTATTTTTAGCACTGTTACACAGAATTATTCAATGAATACAAAAAAACATTTTAAGTAACTTGAGTTACTAGAAAATAGTGATTATGCGTTATTAATAGATGCAGTTATTCAATACATATAAAACAAAAATTAGTAATATGCTTGATTAATTTTTTTTAAACCTAAGCTCGACAACTAGGACCATTAATTGTGAGAAGGCACGGTTGGTTTTTTTAGCACACGGAGTATAATATTACCCATGGTGACTAAAATTGTTCAAATTAACAAGGTGACTAACGAAAGGTTAAATAACTTACGCGATTTTGCAACAAAACAAATCTATTCAAAGAAATACTCCTGGGATAAAATTTTATGGAAAATTAAAATATTTCAAATGACATGGTCCAGAGCAATAAACGAAAAATAAACTCGAAAAAGTGATCTTGTCGCATTGTGGGTTAGGATGCTCAACACGTTCGGGTGTGTTAGATAGCTGCTATAAATGGCTTTATTTTCTTGTGTTTTTATGATAATCTAACGTGGAAAGTCTTGAACAGCCATGTTGACAATATTATGTTTTATTCATTAACCTCTATTTGTGGTTCACTAAAATGTATTAAACATCATTTCGCAAGAAAACATAGTTTGTAATAATAAGCACTATGTAACACTATCTTAGAAATTTGGTCAGCTCATGCATCAATCAGTGTTAAACTGCTTATTCGTTCAACGAAGGAAAGGGTCTAGTCTAATGTGTATTCTTCCCAATCGTAATATTTTTATCGTTAATTATTTATTTTTTTTTAATATAGTAATTAATCATTAAAATGTGTAATTTATTAAACGACTAGCGTTTCATTTTTTTCTTATAACAGTAAGTTTTCAATATTTGAAAGATCTTTACATTCACCTTCCATCTAGAGTATCTAGACTACAGATTGGTTTAGGACTTAGGACAGAAAATTACTGGTATTATCCTTTTTTTAGAAATATGTACTGGCAAGTCTGAAAAGGACGATAAATAGCGTTTAGACTTAATATCATGTTAGGCGTTGGTGATGTGAAGATCACACCATTAACTGAGCATTTTTTTAATGTAATTAATGAAACATTATGAGTTGGCCTTGATTAAAAAGTTGGTTACCAGTAGACTAGGGTTGATATGGTGCCCTTACGAAGGATCAGGGGAAGGAGTAGGAGTAGGACTATAGAAAACATATAAACATCAACATTTTTTTGTTTAAAATAAAACTTTTTTATATTTTATAAAATAATATACAAAAGCATTTAAAATTTTAAAATTTATGATTGAATTGATTATTATTCATTAAAAAATTAAGTTTTTGTTTTACATTACACTTTTACATGAAAAAAAGTATTTTTTCCTTGATTTTAACGTTGCAAAAGACTCCACTATTTCATCGAAAGAAATATTTTTCATGAATTCACTTTCAATAAACAAAAGTGCAAGGGCCTTTGTTTTAACATATCACTATAGTAAAACCAGAAATAACCAATGTCGGCTACGATAAAACACAATTATTATAAACCTTGATGTAATAAAACGTTATCGTAAATATTTAATTTTCAATTATATTTATTATTTTTCCTCATATTCCATAAAAGATTATTAATGAAAATTTAATAATATTATGTGTTGAATTCTGATACATTGGGACAGTCAAAAAAAAATAATTTTACCTTTAATTGAAGTATATATTTTGCAAACGTTCTTCATTCATAATAAAAATCATTTTTTGATGCCTCCAATTTAACATTGGCCGATTGGTGCCCTAGGCTGTAGCCTACTCAGTCTATTGGTTAATGAGGCCCTGATTATGAGGCTTTGTCATAATTATAGTAATTATTATCTCGTAGATTTTATAGATATCTAAGTACTTCACCGGTATTATTTTCCTAAACACATTCGTTTTGATTCCAAGTTTGATTGTACAATCTAGAACTTGATACAGCAATGTTTAACTTTGCCCTGTACTGCTCATAAATGAGTAAACCACTAATTCAACATCGTACTGATGTAGTTTTTGGTTATTTTTTTATGTTTTATTTTTTATACTAACAATATTTTCTTAAACTATTATTTTGTTATTTTATTATTATTGAAGTACATTTTATTGTATACATATCTATTCTAAGAACTCTGTGGTTTACCCATACATGAAATCTCCAAACGGATCGTAGATAATGACATGAATGGATAATATGCTTCTGCTCCAACAATATTAAAACGATGCGTATCGGAACGTCATATGTACATAAATTAATAAAATTCATTTAAATATTATAGTAAATTAATTTCATCTACGTCTACTAAATACTCATTTTTTATGCGTACCTATATAATGAATTTAATTCCATCAATATTACGTAATGATATTTATATACAAAAATTAAGTCATCTTTTAGTTGATTTTTATTATACGGCGTTTGAGTAGGAAAAGGATTTTTTTAATTAAAACAAGAAAAGTATTGATTACGTAATATTATTCGTGTTTCAATAATTTTGGCATTTCATTTTAATAAATAACTATGCGTAAATAATATCAAGAGTTTCATTTAATTTTATTGCTAATCCTCCAATACTCGGTCATGAATTTAATTTTTAATAACATAGGACTTAATTTAATTCGCATTTGTTATATTATTTTTTATTTATTATATGGTGTATAGTGCAAGGATTTAGATATTAAAAGTGGTAGCATGACAAGGGAGGTACTGAAAGTTACTTTATTTTTTTAAAAATGGATTACAATAAAATTATAAATCTCTATGAGACAGTGTAATCTTTTTGCATGCATTTGTTATTTGACAGTTTTTACTATGAGTTTTCTTGAATTACATGTTTACAGTAACCTGTGATGGGCGTGGTAAACTGGTACCTAACTGTCTTCTTGTATAATATGCATTCGTTGAACATTTGAACAGAATGTATAAAATATTTTTCTTATAATCTAATATTAATAAATGCTTAGGTTTATATTTTCAACTAATGAAATAATATCCAATTTCAGTTTTAATGATTAACTAAGAGATAATTAATAATGTATTGATATCTTGAATATTAAACCGATAATATACTTATAATAATATTTTCTTTATCAACTTTATCTAATATCAAATAAAGTCAAGTTTTCTCTCATGTAAAATATTGAACTGGCTGTTTTCAGTTAGGTATGCATCTAAAATAACTGTTATAAGCATAAAAAAGTGAAATTTAAAAAAATTCAAAGTTTCATTATTTTATTAATATACCTAATTTTATTATTTCTGTTTTAAATTTGAAACGAAATAAAATTGCTTTTTAATTTTAAGTACATATAATACTAAATATGTAATATTTCATAAATGTATTATATTATGTAAAATTCTTCTTATTGAATTTTCAGAATATTTTGGAAAAAAAAATTTTCTTATAATTTAATATTTTGTATTTCAGCTAGTTATAAATACCTGTAAGTTGCAATCAATATGATAATTTTCTTCTAATGTTAATTCAAAACTATACATATTCAATCATATTCGCTATAGAATAGCAAAAACCAATAAAACCGAACAATAATATACAAATAAATATCCTTAAATTGACCCTAATTAGTGACTATTAGGGCATATTTTAACTACTAAACGCCAATTATTTACTATATAAAACCGTACAGCAAGATAAAATATTAAAACACATGATCTATCAGTCACAGCCACCAGACGCATTTATAATAATAAATTATAATCTAAATATAAATTACATTTATAATCTCATATTTAAGAGTAGAAATAACTTCATAAGCATCAATAAGCATATTTATAGGCTTGATGAGCCATCAAAGACTCTCTATCATTACTTTCTTGTCATTCCCTACTTCAATAAAGTAATTAACTTTAACGTACTACACTCTACGTATATTTAGTTATATATTACAATAGTTTGAATTACAAAGTTCATCATTCAAGAGTAAAGTTGTAGGTACTATTTTACAACTGTGTTACATTTATTTCAATTAAATGTTTTTAAATTATTTGTACTACCTTATTCTTTATTAATTGTAGCATTATTAGAATATTAACTCTGTTTAATAAGATTAAAAGAACAACTCTAATTACAATCTATTATCTAAAAGAATTCAAAGTAATCGCAAGAATTCGGAGGTTTTATTAATATAAACAGAGATTTTGAGTAATTGATTCGAATCCCGTTGGATTCTAGGGTTATCTCAACACATCTATGTGGTACA